AAAAAAAGACAGAAGCACTAAAAGTCATCAAAATGGACAAGTTCAAAAAGTGTTCTGAGCAGTGCAAAAAGTATCTCGATAGGTGCATTATATCAAATGGAGAGTTCTTTGAAGGTGACAAAAGTTTAAACATGTAAGAATAAATATGCAATTTTTTAATAAATAAATTCTGTTTGGGGGGACCACCCTGTTACATTGCTTAGGATGGTGGGGTTGACATGACAAGAGGCAAAATGTCAAACTCATTAAAGAAGGAGAAGCATATTAGCAGATAAGGACCAGCACACACAATTTTGTTGGGTACTGTGGAACAGTCAAGAGAATCACAAAACATGAATTCTGTCCTTAAGAGATATTATGTCCCCAAAGATACAAGACTAAAACAAATATTGAGAGTGACAACGAATGGTTTTTAGCCAAATGCTAAACGGCATGCTGTAGATCATGTTAAGAAGGTCATAGAAATGAGACATTATTGAGAGTCACAGAAGGCTAAATGGAAAGGTGGGGCTTGCGTTGAGGCTTAAAGGATGGGTAGAAGACAGAAGAAAGGATCGGGGGTTGAAAGTTGTGTTCTCATTTTGGTTTATTATTACCTGCTGAGGAATGATCTTGGGCAAGTCTGGGTCTTAGGCTTATCTATAAAGGGAAGGTTTTCACTAGATAACCTCAAAGTTTTGCTTCCAATCCTTGACAGTCTTTGGTTAGGATGAACATTCTAGGTGGAAGACACCAGAGTCTAAAAACAGACTTTTAAGATGGGATTATGTGGTTGGCACTGTATACAACATTAATAGATTGTTATTATGAATCTTTCTAAGTAAACACGCTACTAGAATTTAGAAGCAGACAGATGCTTCTCATTAAACAAAAGTCAAGACAAGCAAGGCACTTTTTCTTAAAATATTTTGGTTAACCATGGTGGAAATTCAAATGCACCCAGAAACTGCATAAGGTTTATGAGTTTCTGCAAATCCCTCATTATTTCCTTCATCAAGCTAGGAATCATGGCTTGAAGTGGTTTGACTATAAGATAATGGATCTAGTTCTGTGACTATGAAAGGAGATTTCACTACTGCACAGTGATATCAACGTAACTTTTATCTATTTTAGGAAAATTAAATCCTTGCCCACTTTTGTTCTCTTTTCTTTCCTACACAGCCTAGGACTTATCCTGAAGGCTGATGCTACAGACGTGTGTGTGTGTGTGTGTGTGTGTGTGTGTGTGTGTGTGTGTGTGTGTAAGGACACACTCATGCATTTCTTCTGAGATGTAAGATTTCACCCTCTGCTCTCCAGCTTCTGGCTGGCGGGTTGTATTACCACACATATGCATTACTTGCTGGACACCACTACGAGAATGTCTAATGTATGTCACAAATTCAACAAAACAGCCTACTCTTTCCTGCCCCATATGTGCACCAAATGCCCCATTTTTACTAACTATGATATAATCCTCTCAGTTAAATGGACTGAAAACTCCCAGGTCACCTTCCCTTGCTTGTCCTATAATTCCAATCAGTTGTCCAATCAAATGTATTGCTGTTTTAATTATTGCTCAAACATTCCTCTTTGGTGAAGTTTTCCTTTCCTCTCTACTGCATTGTCCTAGTCCAGGCCCTCATTATCTGTCCCCTGAGCCTTCTATAGCTCTGGCTGGGCAAGTAGGACTGATACCTCAAAGTCAATGTGAATACAAAGTAACATATGCTAACAGCTACATGAATGGAAAAGTCCAGGAGTCCCTAAATGGCTATCCAAAATCCAGACTCGGACACAGATATGTTTTGTTTGGCCCACAGATCATTTTTATAATATTAAGCCAACTTTAAAGAAACTTCCAATAAAAATCTAGACATTCTGTTTTTCTGAGAAAGGGGGTCATCTGGCAACATTGGGGTATATTCCATTCACTGTAGTTACCAGTAGAAGCTGAACTGTGTGTTCTCTCTAGACATGGGTCTCTGGGCCCACACAGGTCTCAACACTCCGTAACTTCACTCAATTGTATCCATTGTCCTGGCTCTCCTCCTTCATGCTTCTTGGTCCCTGTAGGTACCTGAGTTTGTAAATTTTGCTGTAAAAGTCGGTGCTGGGGGTTTTTGACGATAAGGATGCCAGGTGTATTCAATATCTATCCTTGAGACCTAACATGTATGCACTCAATAAATGATGGGAGAACATTTAGAGGTTACATAATCAGGCAAAGTACAAAGAAACACAGAGGTAGAAGGATTTAAATTGAGCCTTGAAGAAAAGAGACAGATTTGATTAATATGCCAAAAGAGTAGTGAAAATAATATTTGAGACAAAGAATATTCCATGTCTTGACACCAAATTGGGCACTTATTCGTTTAATCTTAGGCAATTTACTTAACCTCTCTGAACCTCAGTTTCCCTATCTGCTGAACTAAGATAATATTATATATTTCCTAGTGCTGTTATAAAAGAGAAAAATTCCTCTGTAGGATTCAGTTACCGAAATTACTGAGATAAATTATATAGTAGGATTCAACAAATAGAAGCTATTAACAATAAAAAATAGTAATAACTCCTTGAATAAAGATGCCACTAGATGTGTAGTGTCAGGGCATGATGGGTAAACCAGTTAGACTGAAGTAAAATGCTTCACAGAGGAAACTGATGATAAAAATGGAGAGAAAGGTACAGGTCAGCTCCAATTACCATTTCTCTCTTCAACTAACTCAATGCTTAAAGCTAACAACTACATCAACTGAATTTACTGTGGGATGTGGCAAAGGCCAAGGACTGTGGAGTGGTCCTTTCTCAGCAGAAAGTGTATGAGCTTCGAATCAAAGAGACAGGTTCTAATCTGAGGTCTGGCAATTATTAGTTGAGTGAATTTGAGTCAGTATGTCAACAGTTCTATGTTTCAGTTGCCTTATCTATAAAATGGGATGAAATAGTCTATCTTTTAAAATAAGGTTTCTGGTCAAGCGTGGTGGCTCATGCCTGTAATCCCAGCATGAGGTGGGCTGAGGTGAAAGGATCACCTGAGACCAGCCTGGGCAACATAGTGAGACCTTGTCTCTATAAAAGATAGAAAAATTAGTCAGGCAAGGTGGCATGTGCCTGTAGTCTGAGCTACTCGGGAGGCTGAGGCAGAAGGATCACCTGGGCCCAGAAGGTCAAGGCTATGGTGAACTATGATTGTACCACTGCACTCTAGCCTGGGTGACAGAGTGAGAACTTGACTCAAATAAATCAATAAATAGATGTAGTTTCTGTGAGTATTAGACAAGGGACATATATGAAGCATCTCCCATTATGCTAGGCACATGGGGGACATCTGATCCATCATAGCAATACTGTGGGTACCACCATCACATGCTGTCCTCTGTCCCTTTCTCTCTCCCTCCTGTTTGTGTTTGCCTCTTCCCATGCTTCTAGTTTTTCATTTCTTCTTCCCTAGGCTCTTTTGACTCCCTATACCTTCTGCTTTCAACAAGTGTTTGCTGAGGTTCCTGTCATTCTTAAGCATTTATGGAACACTTACTGCACATCAGGCACAGTGCTAATAACACTCATGTTACACGCAGCTGCCCATTCTGCCCTAGGAAGCACTTCCAGCTCTTTTGCATGCATGAGCCACGTCCCTTCCAGGTGAATTAGTTTGCAAAGTACATCAGGTAGAAGTTAAACAGGGCCACACTCTGAACCAAAATGTGCTCACGTTGTCTGTAGTTCCAGAAGTGTGTGTCAGGCCATAGCGAAGGGAAGAACCGGAAACCTGGGCTAGGTGTCGCTGGAATGGCAGGAAGCAACAGCGAACGACAGTGAACTCTATTGTTGTAGAGGAGTAACAGTCAAAGGGGTAAGCAGGCATATGCTCTGCCCCATTAGGCTCTCATTTCAGGCAAGTTAGCCTGAGGAAATAATTATTGTTGTGCACAAAGATTTAACTATAAATGGTCCTTACATACTTGTTTATAACACTACAAAAGTAAAGCAAACCTTAACATCTAATGATAGGTTAACTCAATTATGGATTACTTGTGTAAGTTATTAATAGATGATGTCCCTATAATCCCAGCATTTGGGGAGGCCAAAGCTGGAGAGTTGCTTGAGGCCTGGAGTTTGAGACCAACCTGGGCAACACAGTGAGACCCCCCCATCTCTACAAGAAATAATTTTTTAAAATAAATAAGTAAAAGATGTCACAGAGTAGTATTTAACATGGAAAAACGGCCAGAGTATATTATTAACTGACAAAAGCAGGTTGTAAAGCAAAACATATGGATGAACTTATGCTTGTAAGTTTATATGAACAGAAAAAGATTGGAAGGCTAGTAAGATGTTGATGCTTGACTCTGAAGGATTTTTACTTTTTATTTTGTTTTTCTCTGTACCACTTATATAACAAGAAGAAATGTCACACATATACACTAGTGTTTTATGAGTTAATACATGATAGCTAGATAGATGGATGGATGGTTGGATGAATGGATGATTGATAGAAGACAGGTGAGATAGATAGATGGATAGATAGATGAAAGATAGATAATAGAACTTACATAGATGGATAGATAGAAAGATAGATAATAGATAGGACAATGGATAAATAGAAAGACAAAGACAAATAAATTGATAGGCTGATAGATGACAGATTGAATGATGGATAATAGATTGATAGATAAAAAAGAGGGGTGATTGATAGAGAGAGATAGATGACAGATAAAGACAGGTAGATTGATGGAAAAATCGATAGATAGATACATGATAGATACAAAAATAGATGATAGAAAGATGATAGAACAATAGATAGGTAAAAGAGAGATGGATGATTAATAGAGATAGATGAGAGATGGATGCATGGATGGAGAGATGGACGGATGGATGGACACTCTCCATGTCCAGGGGGCACACAGAACAGAAGCCTGAGGAGACAGCCTCTCCTGAGCCTCTCAGGGTGTTATCAGTAACAGGTTAAACCAGAGACTGTCCTGACCCAAGTGTGAGCCTGTCCTCCCTGCCCTCAGGTCGACGCCCACGGCAACATCCTCCTCAGCACCCTGGAGATCAGGAACGAGACGAGCGGCTCAGAAGTGCTCACGGGCGTGAGCGACCCCAAGGCCACCATGTACTCGTACGACAGCGCCAGCATCCAGTACCGCAAGCCAATGAGCAGCCGCGAGGCCTATGGGCGGGGCTTCGACCGGCACGGGGCCCCTGCCAAAGGCCGCATCCGCAGGCGCGCCTCTCAGCTCAAGGTCAAGATCCCGGACCTGACGGACGTGAACTCCATAGACAAGTGGTCCCGAATGTTCTTCCCCATCACCTTCTCTCTTTTTAACGTCGTGTACTGGCTGTACTATGTACACTGAGGTCTGTCCTGACGGCTTTGTTTAGAACCCTTTTCTCTTGTGTTTTACCCTCCAGGTCGACAGCGATACTGCTGTGTTTCTTGAGGTAAGAGATCAGCCATCCAACCGGTTTTAGGTCTTGCATATCAATTTTATTACTGCACCATGTTTACTTCAAGAAAAAAAAAAACTCTATTTTTTTTTTCCAGTCTACTGTGGTCCAGGTTATTAGCTCTTCAAGAGCCCTATGAATTGCCATGTTTACAAATACACATACACACACACACACACACACACACACACACACACACACACACACAAAGAGAGAAGTTTGGTAGGTAGATCTTTAGCAGTCTTTCCTAGTTGCCCTGGATTTTACGGATTGATTTGTTAAATGAAAATGCAAAGAGGACCTCGCTCTCCCACCTGCAATGCTTCCTGGTAAACTGTAACAATCTCATGCTGCCAAAAAAACTCCACCACAATTTCCAGGATCTCAGAAGAAAAAACAAAGCCATTGACAAGTTACAGATTTCCAGGAAGGCAGAATAATAAAACAAGGAGGCTAGAAAAGGAAGGAGGACTCCCCTCCACCCTTAAGTTCCCTGAGTCCCCTGTGGCAGGGCTCCTGGGCCCCAGGGGAACAGGGGATAGACTAACAGGAGCCGGTAAAGGTTACACAAACCCACCGCCATCTCCACCTCACCATCAGGCTGGAGATTCTGAAAAAGGCTTCTTTCTCAGACTTTCCAGCAAATTTTAAATCTCCATTAGAATACGACTGGTAAAACTGGTAGCCATTGAGAACATTTTTCTTTTTTCTTTTTTTTTTTTTTGAGGATTTTGGGGGCAGTGACCATTTGTCAAACTGGCCGTTTCAAAAGAGCAGCCCTGAATTCTTTCCTTAGCCTAGAACTCCTTGACACTGTGCCCTGAAGCCGTCCATCTCCCTAGCCTGCTGCAGACAGCATGGGAGAAAGGGAGTGGGGTGGCAGCAGTGAGGGGTTTGAGGAAGGGGATGAACAGTGAATTTTGCTTGAGAAAAATATTGCCCTTTCCACGAGGAAGGCAAGATTTATGTGCTGTGAAAAGGGTGCCTGGGCAGTTATCTGAACTGCCAAATCTTAAATCAAATAGTATATATTTCTTTGCCTTCCAGAGAGCAGTATCAAATGGTGACAGGCAGTCACACAAGCCTCAGTTGGCACTTCATGGCTCTGTGCTCTCATTTCTGCATTCCACACTGGAATCAATGCTTCAGGAAACACACACACACACACACACACACACACACACACACACACACACACACACACACACACACACACGCTGGTGTCATTTCCCCTGCGAGACCAGATTTCCATTTTAAAGAAAGCCTTGAAAACTAACAAAACCACAGATAAAAACAACAATGACCAAAGCACTGGGTTTCGTCCAGTGTGACTACATGCACCAGCCCCTACAGGAGAGACCCTTTCTACACTTATCAATTGCTGTCATTGCTGCTCTGCCTTATCTCTACTCATGGATTACTCTTGGCCATGACATTCATAGAAGGGGCGTCCTTCAGTTACCCAACCCGATCCAAACATGTCCAGCCAGCCACATTCAAGATTCTTCCCATATTATGTCATTGATGACCCCATTACTTTCTTTTTCAGCCTGATTATCTAAGAATTCTGTATGTTCCTTTGCAAGGTTGAATGAAACCCAAAATGGACCAAACAGTGACAGAGGCAATTTGGGACCTGACCTATGGATATGAAATAAGGGTTAAGGTCATCATAGGATAATGGCCTCATTTATGACCTGGCTTTCTCCCTGAGGCTGTGATGAATGAGGGTTCCTGTTTACAGTAGCATCAGCTGCTGGAAATTATAGTCTTGATTGGAAAGGTAAGGCTGAATTCTTACTGATGAGCCCAAAAGGAGAGAGTTATGGGATATCCTTTTAGAAATCAAGAGGAAAAGGGACCCCCCAAGATAAATGAACAGTTATGGCTGAAGACAATGTACATTAGTAGGAATATAAACACTCTACTTTCACTGGAAAAATGATCTCAATGGTTTTATGAGAAAATAGTAGGATTAGAGGGACCAAATTTTTATTTAGGCTTTTAGTTGTATTATCACACTTTCCTGGTCAAGGAAAGTCCCAGGCTTTGGCATAAAGTCAGCCATTTTGAGACTCTGTTCAGTCCTTTGGCAGGAGGAGATACTTTGACATCATAAAATGCCCAAATAGAGCGGAATGTGGCCATGTCAATGATTGTAAGGTTAATATTCCCAATGACCACCCAAAACCACTGTGCAGCCATTTATTTTTAACACAGGAAGGGAACTTTTTGGCTGATGCCTAATAGAAATGAATCATTCTGATGTCAAAGCTCTTTAAAAATTAGACTTTAAGGATTAAAATGCTAAATTAGAAAGGAAGTGTCTGAAATCTATGTTCCTTAACAATGTCTCTTTATCTGTTTAGATTATTCTTCTTGGAAAACATTGAGAAAATTTACATTTTTATTATTATTTTTATCTTGACTTCAAAAATCTAAAGATTTGATGCTGTCGTTTTAGATGGAAAGCATCTTTTGAGGAAAAAAAGAACATTTGAACTCAAAACTTCACGTACAATTACTAAGCCTGAATCTACTCATGAGGCACAAAATGGTGTTACTGTATTTCCTCCTGAGCAGTGGAGGGGTCACAGGCACCATTATACAAATCCTGTTAAGTAGCTCTGATCTTGAAGGTAATAGCACCCAGAAGAATGGAGAAGCTGCCATGTTTCTTGTTAGTGACCCCTGTGCCCACTTCCTTCCAGGCAAAATCCTCCCCTTTCAGGCTGAACAGTGCACAGAAAAAAATCCTTCCTCCTTCCTTGCCTTGTCCAAAATGATATACATAAAACATAGAAGTTGTTAGACATTCTTAAGTGCCCTCAAAACTGGTCCCCATTCCTGAAAGATTCCGATTATGACATTTTAGAGGAGTTACTATTTGAGCATTATTGGGATTTTTTGGGGGGGGAGCCGGGGGAAAATGAAAATAGCCACAATCCCTTGCATTACTTAAGTGGCAGCAGATGCTGAAAGTTGTACAGACTCCTTATCTTATGCCACAGTTGTGTCCAGGGAACCCCGTGTCAACAGTTCATAAACTGTGATGTGAACTGTATCATAGACTTCACCCACGTAGGCCCAGTGGAAATGCCGTCTTCACGGGACAGTAGTGACCACACACTGGGTCCCTCCAGTTATGTTCCTTGGCTTGAAGTGTCAGGGGTTATATGTGCATTACACTTATCAGCTGCTTGGGGGCAAAGAACCAGGTAAAGACATATTTGGGACTTGAATTATCCAGGATTATTGCCTTCATGCTCTACATTGCCAAATAGACATAGCAAACTGGTTGGTAATTCTGCCAACTGAATGATCATGTTTCCAGATGCTCCATCTTTATTGTGCATTACAATCAGTGAAGGATCTTGAAAATGCAAAGAAAAATGTGGTGCAGAGAATATACTTTGGTTTAAGGGTCCAAGGATAGAATTTCCTTACAAAACATTATGTACAGTATGTAGAAATGTTGACTAAATTCTGTCTTTCTAAAATCAATGACAATTTTATACATATCCATTTAAGACAGAACTCAATTACAATTTGCCAGTTTAAACAAAAAAGGAATATATTTATAATGCTTCTAGAAGGAAACGATCTCCAAGATTTCTTATATGGACAATTTTGAATAGTATCTTGCCAAAGGGTGATGTGCCATCATGTTTTTTTCCTAAACAAAGTATAATCCTCTATCCCAGGAGGGAGAAAAAAGGGATGTGCAGGCATTCACTCATGTTGATTGGATCAGCAGTGAGTGGGATGAGGAGGACAGAAAAACAAACAAATATATCTGTTTCCTGAAAGCAAGCAGTATAAGAAAGGTACCTTTGTTACCGGAATGTAGACTCTGATGTAAACTTCCTTGTAAATTCTGTACATAGTTCATTGAACTGTTCCCTGTTGCGTGGTGGTCCTCAGCTTTGGGCGGATGTTTGGAAAATCCAAGTATTGTAAATAATGTAAGCTTATCAGGCATTTGCTTTTACTCATGAAGTGAAGTAACCAGTAATTTGGACCCAAACCAGAATCTTCCCAGCTCTTGCTCTCTCTGCCATTTTGTGTGTGCAGTTGTGTAATTCTGCTGCAAGCTATGGCGAGGTGTCTGTGATCACTGCCTCACGCCCCTACCCCACCAAAGGGCCAGCAGCTGCCCAGGGGGCAACACGCCTGCCTGTGGGGCTCAGGGACAGTGCACCAGCAGAAACAGGACGGTAGCAAGCTGCTCCTTGAACTGTGTCATGAGAAGTAGATCTGTCTCTATCCACATACTCAGACCCTGAAGTGTCCACACCGTTGAGGGGGTAAAGAACAGAAGAATGCTCAAAATCCACAGGTAATCCAAAGCTTCATTTGCACCAATAGCTTTAGGTTCTGATTTCTTCCCTTCCACGATGTTTCCTGGGGCTTCTAATACGACTAGAAGTGAATGGTTGGACTTGATCAGGACAAACAGTTAAGTGTCCAAAGGATGCTACAGGGCAAAGGAAGAGATAGTAAATGACCTTGATAATACCAACTGGCTGGTTCATTCCTGAAAGATCTAGAGGTAACTCTATCATTTGTTTTTAAAGGTACAGAGAAACCTTGGTATAAACTGGGAAATGAAACACGTATTTTTCAACTGGGAGTAGGGATGTATGTGATATGTTTTGGTTAAGCTCAAAAGAGAGTCTGGTAATTAAATGTTCTCAAATATATTTCTCTTAAGTACTGGTATTCTTGAAAAAGTCTTCAAAATGGTGGGATACAATGCCATAGATGTGTTTCCATGCAAACTGGCAGTCCCAGCGAGGATGGTGGTGTCTGTAGCAATTCAGAATATCCAAGCAAGCTGGTTTCTTTGTAATGTTTTTAGAGTGGACAGTGTCTTTCTTGAAGGTAAGGACTTTGGGGGTTGGCATTTTAAGTGCCAGGAGTGTTCAGTGAACCATCATTGTAAGATGTTTTGGATCTAAAAGGTATCAACTTAGGGTCCACCATCAACTGAATAAGAAAAATGCCTTACTCCAGCCTGGGCGACAGAGTGAAACTCCAACTCAAAAAAAAAAAAAAAGAAAAGAAAAATGCCTTGCTTGAACTAATCAGGTCAGTCAGTTTCTAGGTCCAGAATACATTATGCTTTTACTGTAGTCATTTTTTTTTTAGATAACTGAAAACAACTAAACTGATAGAAAACCTAATTGTAGGAGGCTTCAATTTTATAAGCAAGCAGTTGAGAGGAAATCTTGTTTAATAAAAGATTGCAAACTAGAAAATGCTAACTTCCTACAAGGCTAAAGGTTAAGAGTTTTGTGTTTGTTATTACTTCTCCCAAGCAAGAATTTGCTTTTTGAGTTGAAGAACTCTACAATTTTTTTGTCTGGAATTTTTTTTATTTAGTTTTTTCTTTTTTCTAATTAAAAAGTCCTTGGCATATCAGAGAACTCACAACCATTTCCGACTGGCCCTGGAAACTTTCCCTATCCCAGACCAATCAGACCTCATCATAAGGGCTTGTCAGAATTCAACATGGGGAAAGTAATTGTGTTTCTAAACCTTTTGGGTAAGAAAAAATCATTCCCCTGAACAATGCTACCTACATTTCCTGCTCTGCAGGCAATTAAAAAAACAAACAAAAACACCAATAAATCAATATAAAAGGGGTCAAAAAAGGCATTATTCATTTGCCTTAAGAGCGCAGGAGAGCCCCATCTGGAAGCCAAAGGATGAAGGAAAGCAATCAGTATTGCTCTTTGGCTCCTGCTTCTTCCTGGGTTTCCTCTAAAAGAGAAACAGAGACAGGGAGGCATTACCCAACAGAATTTTTTATAAGTGCAAATTATTAAAATATGCTATGCGTGTGCATTTTGCAAGTTCAGCTTGCATGAAATAGAGGACCTTTCTCGCCTTCATTCTGTCCGCACTGGGTACCATCCTGCCTCATGTTAACTTGATGAAAAGGATTCTTTTATTTTTTTCTTCTTTCTCATTTCCAGCCTTCGTAAGCTACCTTGCCCAGGAACAGCTGAAAGTGTCAGCCTCTTCGGACTTACGTATTTTCAAGGGAATTCACAAAAACAATTAACTTAAAAATTTGACTCAATTTCCTACTCCTTTTGCTTCTAAAAGGCATTTAGAGGCAGGTTGTATAATCACAAAAGCCTCCTCTGAACTGCCTTGGATTATTTTCCTTTTC